GTGTCCAAGCAGCTGCTTTGCCATACCTGTGCTCTGAAGTTTTCCAGCTTTTCCTTAAGCTACTCTGAGTGGAGCTGAGATCATTCTTTAAAACACAATTGTATAGCGTAGGAAGGACAGGACCTTGCTTCCTTGATTTTTTTTTTTTTTTTTTTTTGGATGTTGTATAACCGAAATTCTGTTCCAGCACCCATCTTTTCTGCCCACTTTAACTGTGGTTTCTTTGAATCCTCTACAACACACACGATATCATTTTGTTGTTCTCTGCAGGCTGACTTGACCGATGCTCCCACCAAGTGCAGAGTCTGTATTTTCCACTGAGGTCTGAAGTGAATTTGTGTAGAGAGGGAATTGCAGGTATAGATTGTGATTCTTCATGTGTGAACTTCCATTTCCAGTAAAGCCTATTGCTTTGTTATTGCACCGCACAAAGCCTGCCCTGTGCCAGGGAGGGGCAGAGTAAGGAATAGCTCTTGAGCAATTTCAATAGAATACGCTGGAGACTTGATGTGCTCTTGAAACAGGGGAGATGAGTTCACGGATTTTTCTACAAGACGATGATGAGGACCATCTCACATGTTGGCAGTGTACGTTAGCATACCTGCCTTGTCTTTAAATAGAGGATGATAATATAATTCATTCTTAGAATACAGTAAATGAACGATGGTTTTCGTAGCTTCAGAAATTCTGGGCAAAGTGCAAGACTTCCTCAGAAGGAAAACAGCAGTGCCAGCTTGTTAAAACATGCAGCATATTGGCGGGACTGGGCTATGAGCATATTTGCATGATTTGGAAACAGTTTAAGACAGTATTTCCTGGGCCGACTGCTTCTCTCTGCATCCTGCTGCTTAACGTATCAACAACTTCAAGTGGAGCAGAGATCATGTCATGGACAAAAAGGATTCTGAAGGATGGAGCTAGGATTTGGTGCTTAGTTTGCTTGGGGGGGGTGTGTGCATTTTTATAGAGAAAAAAAATGCAGATTTTATCATGACTAGAAAATTCTACAGCTGTAAAAATGCAAAGCACACTTTTTTTTTTCCCCCTTTAGCATGCAATGTGTGCTCACATTGGCTGAATATAGGAGCCCAGAGCGGTTTGACATCCTCCCGAGTTTATGCAGCCTATTAGATGGTCCCTGCTAAGTCAGTGACTTCTATACTTTGTCAGGTCTGTTTAGCAAGCTTACTTCAGACTGAGTTTGGTTTTTTTAATCTAAAATTCAATGTATCCAATACCAGTAAGAATTTACTTGAGAAAGAAATTGATCATAGTAATTAAATGGTGAATGTGCTGGATGTGGCTGGAATATAAGCAGCAGTGCCCAGGCAAATTTGAACAGTTTTCTTGAAGCAAGAGTGACCATCCAGTTGTCTAGCATGTGCTTCTTGAAAACTTATTTCTTGAGTTCTAATTGCCTTATTATTGCTTTATAATTATAGCCAGTCAGCTTGAGCAACATTGCTTGTGTCTTTTAATCACAACAATTTATTCTCAAATCAGAGGGAATATATGAAGGAGGAGGTGGAGGAGTGTGCTGAAGATGAGGCGACTGAATCGGAAGAAGACCTTGAATTTGATGAAAGAATTGGATGCCTTTCCAAAGGTTCCTGAAAGCTATGTGGAGACTTCAGCAAGTGGAGGCACAGGTAGGCCTTATTGAGATGCTGACATGATTCATGTTGACTGTTAGCTCAGTCTAGCATGCTCTGGGAACAGAAACCTCAATAGGAGGAAGACAGGCATCTGTGTTCACTTGAAACTAGCCAAAATTGGTTTCTTGGTTTCTTTTGTGGACTGACAGAGCTCATCTCCTTCAGGTAAAGACATAGTATCTTATTCGAATAGATGCATTCATCACTCATCTGAAGGGAGAGTTTTGTGTGACACTGATGAGACTCAAACCAGTGTAAAGGGTCACTGTCAAGACTTCTAACCAATTACAACTGGAAGTACACCATGCCAAGGCCGTAATAAAACTTTCTCATTTAGGCCCTTTTCTCTGTGTGAGGTTTCTGGGTGAGACTCTGTCAACATGAGCTGAAATGCAGGGATTCAACTCTGTGCTTTCATAAAAGAGGGAAAACATTCTCCAGAGATGTCTAAGAGCTGCCTAAGTTAAGCATCAGGATGAAGAACAGCTTCCTAAAGCTTTTTGTCTTGAAAGTGTAGTTGATTTTAAGAGTGGGGAAGACCCTTTGAAGAACTAAACACTTTACTCCAGGGCATGTGCTTGTACTGTCCTTATTAGTCACTTGAGCTTCTCTCAGAAAGCTGTAGCTGTAAAGGTACCATTTCTATATGTATCTGAATAGGAAATTGTACCTTTAAGTTGGGTTGGGCTAGAGGTAGCCTGATCTGGAGATGATGACTTCATCTACTGGACTATTGGAATTGTTTGCACTTAGATAGGAAACTGCTAGCACTTAATTTGAAATAGAGGACAGAAATCTCTCATGTGCGATTATGTCTGAAACTCAGTTGAACAAAAAGTACAAGAAGCAATTGCAATCTACAGATAAGCCTTTGAAGTCATTACGCCAATTGTAGTGTAGAGGTAGATATCACAGGGATCTGTATTATTTTGCTATGTTTCCTGAAGTGCACTGTTAATGATTAAAGGATAATGGTATATAAAATAATCTCTAAGAGCCGATTAAATAACTCTTTGTTAATGTTAGTCCCAGTTCCTGAGAAAGCGAGTTGGTTTTGTGTTGTAATTCACAGAAAAACAATAAATGCTTAAAAATTCATTTTTTTCTAGTATAGCACAATCCTTCATGAGAACTTCACTTTGGTGAAGGGTGCCTTAAGGATTTCTCAACACCAGAAGTTATTTTAGCATTCGTTGGTTTATCCCAGTAACCTGGGATAAATGACAACATAGGATTGTCTTACTCTATGCCGTTATAAAATCTGAGTATAGTATTCCCGTTTCATTCAGGATTAAAGTGCCAGGCTTACTTTCTGATGTGATAGGGATGCAAAACATACTAAGACTCTATTCTCAGACTTTCAGTGCCTTCAAACCCATTGCAAAAGAAGTACCATCTCTCAGACTGAGACTGCAGCTCTGGGGCTGGGAGAGCCTTCAGAAAAGAGGATCTGTCTTTGGAAATTCTACGAGACTTCTTTTTTTTTTTTTCCTGTTCAGATCCACAAATACCTTTGCCCAGAATTACCCAGAACGCAGCTATGGCTCTAACTGTTTCCTTGTTGCTTTGGATAGACAGTATGGCCCCAGCTTTCCTGTTGCATAGCTGGGGTGAGTCTGGCCTAGTGGGCTTCAAAAGGAAATTGATAGCCAGAATAATTAACTGATTAGTGCATCTACTTTCGCAGTATGCATTGGCATGAAGGTTTTTATATATATGATTGTTACCTAGCTTCAGCTGGAAGCTAGAACTTGAAGTGTTGCTGATCAATGCAACAGTCAATGATTTATTTTCTGATCCCATAGGACAGTGCCTTTATTCTCCTGCTGCCACCTCTGGGCTGTAGACCACTGTGTAATGAGTGGAAGCCTATCAACAATGGGCTTGTTTCTTCTCAAGTTGCCCTTCACGGACTCCATAGAAATACTCCAGAGAATGCGAATGGAAAACATATACTGTCAATAATCTGTACAAATCATTGCTGCTCTCCATAACTGAAGTTTTTTTCAACTTAACAAAACCCATGATTTAATAAAAGGGGTGTAGCAGGTGTTTCTGGGCATCTGTTACTGTGTTTCTGATTATGTGCAGAAGGATGATCTTCCCCTTGCATTGTACAACTTTGCAAGTGTGATGAATAGGCTGCTTGGAGATAAGTGAGGCATGTATACCAATTAGTTTTCTTCCTAAAAATGATTTCAAATCAATTCTTTGCTTCTTTAGCTGTTGGTAGAATGGATAGCTACATGTTGGTTATTGCCAGAGGGAGAATTATTTGAAATGCTGGGGTGGGAGTCCTGACTGTACAGCTATGCACAGTGCATATAGCGCATATTATTTCTCTTGTCTCCTAGCTTCTTGGCTCTAAAAATGGATATAAAAATATTTCGTATAAAAACTTGGGTTGTAGGCAAGTGGAGACTTGAAGGGACTTCAGGGTGCACCTTCTCCTTTCATGCTTGAATTCAGGATTTAGTTTGCCCAGACCATCCCTGTCAGTGATTTGTGGGCATTTTCTTTTATATGCGTAGGAGGATGTAGTCTGTTCTTAAATCTTCCACATATGGATTTCACAACTTGCCTATCACTCTAGTATTTGACTGTAGTTAATGTAAAAAGTTCTTTCTTGATGCAAAGATAGGACTTGTTCTTTTCCCCTCCTATGTAAAAGCAAATACAGTAGATATGAAAACGTTTTTCTAAGAGCAGCTTATGGATTTATAAATCAAAGATACCAGTATTGTACTGGTAATGCTCAGATTCTGGAATGTTAGAATTTTATTCTGCTTATGTTTCTGAATAATATTTCTTACAATCTAAACTTCTAATTTATTTTTTTTTTGACCACTCAAGTTTCTCTGATAGCATTTACAACAATAGCTTTCCTGACTGTAATGGAGTTCATGGTCTACCGAGACACATGGATGAAATATGAATATGAAGTAGACAAGGATTTTACTAGGTAATTTTTATTCATGATAATCCCTTTTAAAATTTAAGTTGTCTGCATTTCAGGAAAGAATAGATTTAACATGTTCATGTAATTTGCAAGCAATTTATGATTGAAATTAAAAATTAAATTCTAAAGGGACTTGATTTTTCTTCTGTTGATTGATTTGGGTTTTTTCTTTTCTGGAATCAATGAGGAAAAGAAATTGAGATTTCTGTAACGAAGAAGGCAAAATAATGTAGGTTTGTTGGTGGAGGAGTCCCCTGAGGAATTATTTGCTAACAGTTCAGAGGACATTGTAATATGTTACTCCACATCAGCTAGGTAAACTCACCACACTTGCACGACGCTTACTCTAGTTTATACAATTAATATATTGCCATTATACTTTGTGCTCCTGGAGGTGAACCTTAAGCACTCAGAACTTTCTGTTGTCTAGAGGTTGCTACTGGTCCTGTCTCCAGTTACAGCCCCCAAGATTGGCTGAAGATGTATTTGCTGTTGGTTTTCATGTGCTTGTCTGGACTCTGTTTGCCTTTCTTCCTGAGGTGGTCAGGCACCCATGAGTCCATGTGAAGTTAATGATGATTTTGTGCACTGAACGCCTTTAAATATCACACGTCTGGAACTGAAATAACTTTAAAAACTGTTTGACTAGTTGCTGTGGTAACAAGCTAAAGATAGATATATTAATTGGATGTCTTGTACGTCAGAAATACCAAAGGTTTCTGTAATAGAAAAAATAAAAAATACAAGAAATTTAAGGGAAATGCATCAAAAACTCAAGTTAGAGTAAATCCTTCAGACAGATGGGAGTTTCACATTTAGGTCTTTGCTAAAGTAGGTGGTTTTCCTAGTGAAACTATCACATGGGAAGGATAGTCTAGCAGTTAAGAGACTGTTATGGGACTTGGGAGACGTCCTGCTGCAGATTTTCCAGTTTGGTTGTGGACTAATCACTCAACTTGTGGTTCTTGACAATTTAAACCAGTGGAGACTGGGATCGCTTTAAGTGCTTTTTTGCTGTCTACTGACCATGTCTGGTCCCAAGTTGAGCCAGTGTTGAATCCCTTGCTTATGTTGATTTGTTTGTGGTCAGCAAAGTTCCCAGAAGAAGCTCCCTAGAGGTGATAGGACTATATGACTATAGTGAGGGGATTTACTCATTATGGTTTAAATGACTTTTGTGAAACTAACATGAAAACCAATAGGAAATGCCCAAAATATTGGGGAATGCCACACAACCAGACTTTTGGTGTGATGAACCTTTTTGGGGTGTTGGTTTGGGGTTTTTCTCCCTAATGGGAAGAACTATGTTTTAACTCCCCTTGTTATGGAAACATTCAGGGTAAACATCTTAACATGCAAGGCACTTTGCTATTATAATATGGGAGCACTTTTGAGAAAAGAGTTTTTTCCAGGAGTGGTGCTAGCAAAACTAACCATCTTTATGACATGGCAGCATTTTCTGGGAACTGGCTGTAGCAAATTCTCAGCCCAATCCTGAAAGTCACTGTCCTGAGGAATTCTGATCAGAGTTGGAAATACAATGGCCTGTCTTAAGGACAAAACAGGAGGAAGGTGCTCAAATATTTACTCAGTTTTAGATTTGTAACTCATATGTTGTCCTGATCCACTGCATTCTGTGGAATTTATTGCACTGTTGTAGTTGTGTGGGAAAAAAAGAAGTGTAAAATATTGGAAACGATATATTCTTAATAAGAGTGTGACAAACTCTTGGGTCAGTAATATTTCCAGAAAATCTGTTAGGAGTTTCATAGTAAAATTCAACAGGGAAATCTGATGCTTTTATCTCTTAAGTTATGAGTGGTCGTTAGTGCTTTAATAACTAAAAGTCCGTCTTGGTTCACACAAATTTTAAACAGCTTAAGTTTATATTTATTGGTGTAAATTTTTATATTTGGCTGTGTTTCTGCAAGTAATCTGAGAAATGTAGTAATATATCTCCTGATACTGGTACTCAATGTTACTTATTAGCTTTTTGCCTTTTTTTTCTTTCCAGTAAATTAAGAATCAATATTGATATTACCGTTGCCATGAGGTGTCAATGTAAGTATTCCATCAGAGAAAGTTTTGAAACACTTTAAAGGCTCTTCAGAGTATGCATTTGTTTGCAATATAGTTGGATATTGTTCAAAATATTCTAACAGTGAGATTTCTTCTGATCTTGATGGCATATGCATCACTGAAAGAATTAGTAGGAGATGTGAAGACAAGTATTTATGCCATCTCGTTCACATCTTGCAGAACTTTTGCTTTGTCTGTCAGCAAAAAAAAGGATCTGTTGTTCCAGTCTCTCTCTAGCTGCAATATTCTAAAGCTCCTTGTGAGACACAGCTCAGCAGCTGAAATTTATCACAACTTTTATTTATTTATGAACTTGGCAAATAATGACATGCTGTCTTGTTTAACAGTACTGAATTGTTAAACATCCTCCTGGACATATGGATGCCTTCTCATTTAAAGGCAATGCTTACTATTCTTTTGACATCATTTAGGTAATGAACCATTATTTGTATGGAGTGGTTTTGGTTGTCCTGGACTGAGAAAGAGAGACAATACTAATCCTACCAGGAATGCAAGCAAATCTTCAAGATTCACTCTTTTTTGGCTAGGTTAAACCTTGCATTAATTGTATAATCCATCAGTACCATACAACTTGTGTTTGTCTCACAAGTATTAATATATAGGTCATCCTTTCTTACTTTTAAAATTTATTTTAGTATTTTTCAATTATTTTCCAGTTAGCATAAAAAATTCTGAAAATTCTGATTTTTTTTATTTGATTTTTTTAAAAAAATTGAGAAATAGACAAATTTTTTTCCTCTGTTTTGGCTAGTCTTGGTTTGGATTCAGTGCTTATGAAACAGGAAAAAATATTTAGGCATAGCAGGTCCTAGAAAGCTTGTGTATGTAGTTCATACAACATCTCTGAAGGTGTTACATCAGTGAGAAAATATTGCAAATCTGAAAAGTTTGTTTCCAGTCACTGTGCATCAGTTGATGATGCTCTGATATGATAGGTCGAAAAGTAGGATTCTGTGGTTTCCTCCTGCCTTCCAGTAGTCTGCATCTTTCCAGGTTTGTTTTTCTTTTCATTTGGACTTTGTTAACAAGAAACAGTAACTTATACTGAAAGTTTACCACTGTATTGCGAAACTTCACTTCAACTTGAGCTTGTTTGTTTATGATCATCTGTATGACTCTTAATATTTTTCTCTCTGTTTAAAATAGATGTCGGGGCTGATGTTCTGGATTTAGCAGAAACAATGGTTGCCTCTGCAGATGGGCTAATCTATGAACCAGTAAGTTGATTCTTACCTTTTTATTTTAAAAGGAAATTGCTCTTTACTTGATGCAGAGCACTGCTGGGCTGACTTGCTTGTATTTCCCCCGCCCCTCCCCCCCAAATTGCCTTGCACAGAACTTTCCCAAGTATTGTCTGATCCTTGAGTGAAGTCTGCAGTGCTTACCTCAGGAACCTGCTAGGGAAAAAAGCTAGCATTGGGATTTCTGCCTGTTCACTCTCTGCAAACAGCAGATTTGAATACAGCACGCTCCCAGATCAGTGCTTCTTAAAAAGCTAGTGATTTCTACAGCTAAGTTTTTTACGTTCGCATATTCTAGGAATAAATTCTGACAGTATTTGATATGGAAGGAAAAACTATCAGAGCTCTCCTAAAAAGCAGTTACATCAATCCTTATAATATGGAATGATGTTAAAGATTAATTTCTGTATTGTGAACTGAAGGCTCTGGAACTACTGTGTCAGCCTATGCTCTTAAACTGATTTTGTTTGCATAGTGCGATAGACTTCAAAGTAATTATGCTGCATGAAAGTAATTTATCATTTACAGAAAACTTATTAGAGAATGTAACTTCCTGCTGTAATTCTTACATTCTCTAGTAACTGAACCATATTCCAAATTATAACAGTTTTGTCCAAATTCCTGCTCATATGTGTGAGCAGGAGGAGATGGCTGAATGGAAGGACTTGGTTGGGAAGGGGAAGGAGCTTGATTTTGTTTGCTTGTTCTCGTTGGAATATTTCTTTTTGTCTGGACAGTCATCCCTGCCCTGCTGTAGCTGCTGCATGCTAGCAGTTCCCCCAGTTATTATAATCGTAGAAAGAGGAAACTTCCTGTACTTCATCTGTTTTGGCCGTAGCTCTGGGTAGATTTGAGCATTAATTGCAATTGAATTTACTGTCTGGAGTACATCAGAATTAACAATACATAGATTTGAATTCAGTGCACAGAGGTTACTGGTGACATTCTTGCACCGATTGAAGTACAGCGGTTCTGATAGCTTGTCTTGAAGAAGTGCTTGATGTGGGATGACCATAGAAATAAACAGTCTGCACTTGGACCCTTGTCTTTCAAAGATTGCTCCTCTGCCTGTTTCATTGCTGTTTACATCAAAACCATGCATGTCAGTTATATCAGTTAGAATTAAATTGCCACTCACTGCTGCTTCTAGCCCGTGTTAGTCAAAGGCTAGAAGGGCAGAGACTGCTGACGAGTCTCTTCTTTAGGAAAAGATGCTTAAGTTACAAATGTGAATAAGTGAATAATTCTGGAGAGGAAGGGACAGAAATTTCCAGACTTCAACAATAAATGTATTGTTTAAAATGCAGAGTCCTTTCATAAACTCCAGTTACATAGTACCAAGTGTGAAGTTGATTATAACTTCCCACCCCTTCCCACACCTTCTTCAGGGTTTCATTGATGGGACTTCAATGCTTCCTTCGTGATTTTAGATGTGTTATTTTTGTTTCAGGTAGTATTTGATCTCAGCCCACAACAAAAAGAATGGCAAAGGTAAGGCACTGAAATGCTTGCTTATGGTTTGTATTGCTTGTACTGGAGGTGACTTTGAGGTACACCAGTCACGTGACAGAACTATGTCTTAGGTCTAACAGCTCCTGCTTGTGATTTAAGAGTGCAGACCTGTGAAAACATATTAATTTGCTTTGCTTTTCTCATCGTTTGAGATCGCTGTTACAGAAAAAATTGGCTTTGGACTTATTTGTGGAATTGGGTCATGCAGTTGCAAGCCAAGATGTATGCAGTCACTCAACTTATGTTTCCAAACGAATCCTTGGTAGCACAAGTTTTAATTATGGATTCAGATACGTAACACAAATAGCTTGATATCTAAATGTCAAAGCTGAACTGGCATGTTCTTGCAAAAAGAAATGAGTTTGAGTCTTTCATATAATTAAATTGACACACTTTATTGTTTAAACTGGCATAGCTTGGTGATATCTGTGATGACTGTACTGATACTCTTGTAATGGAACCTGAAGCTTATTTGGGAGTCTAGCTAGTTTTGATGTTTTTGGTAACACACTGCTGTGAACACCAGAGCTTTAAGCTCTGTATAAAATACCATTCTCAAAATTTAATGTAACACTTTAATACTGACATGAACCTTGCTAACTTCTTGATTTATAACCTGCAACTAAAGCTGATAATTAATTGTGAAGTTATTTTTTGTTTTACTGTTGCATGCTTTCATGCTTGTCTGTGTAATCTGTAGGATGCTGCAGCTAATACAGAGTAGGCTGCAGGAAGAACACTCTCTGCAAGATGTGATATTCAAAAGTGCTTTTAAAAGTGCTTCTACAGCACTGCCACCACGGTAAGAAAAATGGGGATGTTGTGTCATCATGCCCCTCTCCCTCTGCCTTATTTAATTAGACTTCACGTTTTATTGTGGTTATGATTTCTTCCCCTCTCCAGAAGATAAAGTTGCAAGAAAATAAGACCTTACTGCCTTTTATTGCATTTTAAAATAGTATACTTGATACTTGCTTTGGAGAGTTGTTATTTTATGAAAATCTCTGGGGTTTCTAACCTGGAGAAGGTTTCCAGGTTTTGTGTATGTATTTGTATGTATATATCTATACATAATACAGATGCACACATAAATACACACACACACCTTTTTAGTCCATTTTATCTGATGCTTCCTTCTTAATGTGAATTAGTAATGCCGAAGTAACGCTAAGCAAGTCTTTTTTTTTTTTTTTTTCTAGTGAAAGAGTATCTTACTGTCCAGCAACTCTTAAAAAAAAAAAAGTCCTGCTATTAGCTGTGACTTAATACTTTATGGTTTTAAAAGAATCAACTTTTGAATAAAAATGTGTTTTGTTAATAAATGCTCTTGTATTTTTCTTAGTAAATCTCCCTGTCTCAGGACCAAATACATCCTTTCTTCCTAAGGCAGACTGAAGAGGGCTCAAAAAAAATCTTTCCTCTCATTTAGTTGTTGTCTTCAGATTCATTTAGTCCTTCTGTGTCTTTCTTGTTAGTGCAGTATTTGAGATGGTATTTATGCTTGAGATGCATTTAAAAAATTTTTTTTTTTCAGCTCCCTCTAAGGAGCAGATTTGGAAATATGTTGTGAGTTGTGGACATCCCAACAAGTGTGGGAAAAGGAAGGTTTCAGAAAAAAAAATGTTGAAAGCTGTTCTTGTTGCAGTGTTGTTAACATGACTATGTATTCTGTTTTGTTCATTGCAGCATTAAAATTTTCCCAACAAACCGTTTCTGGTAGAAGTAAGTGGGGAAAAAAATCCCCAGGGCAGCAAGATATACTTACGGTCTTACATTTTCTGTTCACATGCTCAGATATCGTAAGTTAGCTTTGTAGGCCAGATCTCTGAATATAAGTACAAATGAAAGCTCATTAGTTTCATCAGACTGACCTTTATTTGTTTCCCTCCCTTCCACCATCCCTGCTACAAGTCTGGAAGCATGTGATAAGGAGAGGTAGATGATAATGCTATACCTTTATGCTAGGAAAAGAAGTATCTAACTCTACTGCTGTTATTTCTGTTAGACGGTGAATATTCTCAAATATTCTTTATGTTGTTTTTGTTTAAACAGGGAAGATAATTCATTACAGTCTCCAGATGCATGCAGAATTCATGGTCATCTCTATGTCAATAAAGTGGCAGGGAATTTTCACATAACTGTGGGCAAGTATGTTCTGTTCAATTCCTGAAAATCAAAAAAAAAAAAAGGAATTGACTTCTACGTTATATACAGTGCATGCATGTATATGTGTGTGTATGCCTTTACACTTTTGAGTTAACAACTGTTTTTTATTAACCTTCCCATACACACGCTTGGTATTATTTTCCATGTGGTATCTTTTCTTGCACAGTTAAAAACGAATATCGTAAGTTACTAAAACAGTGCAGTGCATTGTTGCATGCAATGTAGTGGTTATGTATTCCAGTGTCTTACAGGATGAAAACTCTTGAAAATAGGTCCTCAGTAAGTGTATGACATGGAGTGGACTGCTTGTACTTGCCTCCATTCTTTGGGCCTGCCCAAACTCCTCCTTTCTGTTAGTACACAGTTCACTAATATGGATGAAGTGTAGGTGTGTGCTATTTCAGTGCTGAGATAACATAGCTATGGAACCATAGTTAGGGAGCTAAATGCCAGTCCATCGTGACTTGTGGAGACACTTTCTGATATGCTTTGGCAATGGTATTAGCTTATATACACTGTGTACGAACTTGTGTTAACTTTTCTCTGTGCTGTCCAGCTCTGCTGTCCTTACTTGTCTTCCTGCTACCTCTGTCACCAGAGATCTTAGCATGCAATCTATACTCTTTAATTTATCCACATGTAATTCCAGCGGCTCTTTGAGTGGGTATTTCTTCAAATGTCAGTTCTGTTTGGTCTTGTACCACCTCTGATTTGCTCCTAGATGTCCAGCTTCTTAAGCCCTTTTCAGAGCAGATAATTTCTCTCTCTAGTTCTGCAACCCTGAATAATCTTTTGCTTTCCTTTGCTTCCTTTTGCTCATCTTTACGTTAGTACTTCTGCTAAGTTGCTCTTTCTCTTCGTGTAGGTGTGGGGTTTTTTGTAGGTGTGGGGTTTTTTTGTTTTTTTTAATGGCTTTTCTCACTGGCCACCTTGGTACCTTATTGCCTAGTTATTTATTGTAGTCCTATCTTGTGTGATCTCATTATCTTTCTCCACCTTCTGTTTGTCCAAAACTTACATGCATTTGGTAATGATTTAACTTA